TGTTGGAGGTATGGCACTCTGGGTTACTGAAAATGCCTGATGAATGAGATTCGGTCATCTGGTAGGCCTCTCGCTCTCTCTCTGCTGCCCATCTGTTCGCTGACAGCACAGGGAAAGACTGCAGTTCTATGGAGCCAGATCAGTCTCAAAAATAATACATTTACAAAATAAAATTCATACATGCACAGCACAATTCAGATTTACAAAATCCAAAATACCCCAATCCATTTTATAAATTCAAAACACAATTCACAAATATAACACACAATTTGTGAAAATAAGTTAAATTCATAAATATTTTTTTGCCAAATAAATTGCATTTGTCTATTTTTAAATCGTGTTTTCAATTTAAGAAATGGATTTGTGTATTTTTTAATTCACAAATTAGATTTTGTATATTTGAATCGTGTTTTATATTTACGAATTGGATTTTTGTATATTTGAATCGTGTTACATATTTACGAATTGGATTTTTGAATATCTGAATCATGTTTGATATTTACGAATTAGATTTTTGTATATTTAAATCATGTTTTATATTTACGAATTGGGTTTTTTATATTTAAATCGTGTTTTATATTTACGAATTGGATTTTTGAATATCTGAATCATGTTTTATATTTACGAATTGGATTTTTGTATTTTTGAATCGTGTTTTATATTTACGAATTTGATTTTTGAATATCTGAATCGTGTTTTATATATACAAATTAGATTTTTGTATATTTGAATCGTGTTTTATATTTACGAATTGGGTTTTTTTATATTTAAATCGTGTTTTATATTTACGAATTGGATTTTTGAATATCTGAATCATGTTTTATATTTACGAATTGGATTTTTGTATTTTTGAATCGTGTTTTATATTTACGAATTGGATTTTTGAATATCTGAATCATGTTTTATATTTACGAATTGGATTTTTGTATTTTTGAATCGTGTTTTATATTTACGAATTGGATTTTTGAATATTTGAATCGTGTTACATATTTACGAATTGGATTTTTGAATATCTGAATCATGTTTTATATATACAAATTAGATTTTTGTATATTTGAATCGTGTTTTATATTTACGAATTGGGTTTTTTTATATTTAAATCGTGTTTTATATTTACGAATTGGATTTTTGAATATTTAAATGGTGTTTTATATTTACAAATTAGATTTTTGTATATTTGAATCATGTTTTATATTTATGAATTGTATTTTTGTATATTTAAATCGTGTTTTATAATTACGAATTAGATTTTTGTATTTTTGAATCGTGTTTTATATTTACGAATTTGATTTTTGAATATTTGAATCGTGTTTTATATATACAAATTAGATTTTTGCATATTTGAATCGTGTTTTTGTAAATTTTATATTTACGAATTGGAATTTTGTATACTTGAATCGTGTTTTATATTTACGAATTAGACTTTTGTATATTTAAATCGTGTTTAATATTTACAAATTGGATTTTTGTATATTTGAATCGTGTTTTATATTTACGAATTGGATTTTTGAATTTAAAAATTTGTGTATATACGAATTGTGTTTTGAGCTTACGAATAACATTTTGTAAATGTGAACGGTGTAGTGAATGTATGAATTACATTTTGTAAATGTATTATTTTTGAGTCTGATCTGGCTCCATACATTTCAGGCCGGATAAAAGACCACCAAAATACTACAGTCAAGTGTTCATTTATTTATAAGCTTTATTTTTTTTTTCCAAAGAGCTCCCACGTCTGCTTATCAATAGCAAATGACAAAAGCGTAGCACCACAAAAAAAGTGGCAACACAAAAGGCTGCTGTTTTCATTCAATTTGGTAGTGGTTTTGTCTAATGGAAGTTTGGTGTTGTTCCATCCATGACATTTACAAACTAAACGCAATTGTAGTTTACTAGTTTACACAAGAAGACCCGTTTCTAGATTTAAACATGTACTGTACACCTTCTTCCATCTCCAGAATTAAACAGTTGAGTTGAACAACAGATCTTCAGGTCCAGCGGAAGAACTTTAAGCTTAGCATAGATCGTTAAACAGGATTTAGACCATAAGCATCTCTCAAAAAAATAAATAATTAAATAAATTCCTATTTAAAGCTTGACTATTGTGTAGTCTAAGTGTAATAGAGCTGCCGGAAAATGAAAAGTTGCTATTTTCAAGGCCACAGGTGTCAAAAGCAGTTTCTGGAGGGCCGCAGCTCTGCACAGTTTAGTTCCAACCCTGCTTCAACACACATACCTGTAGGTTTCAAACAATCCTAAATGACTCAATTAGTTTGATCATGTGTGTTTAAATAGTGTTAAAGCTAACCTGTGCAGAGCCACGGCTCTCCAGGAACTGGACTTGACACCTGTGTTCTAGGCCAATGATTCCTTGCCAGAATGAGAGTACGGTTCCTATGGCCACATCTGCCTAGAACATAGCAGGCCTCAATTCCTGGAGGGCCACAACTCTGCACAGTTTTGCTCTAACCCTAATCAAACACAGCTGATCCAACTAATCAAGGTGTTCAAGACTACTAAGCCTATTAGGCAGGTGTGAGTTGGAGCTGGTTGGAGTTTGGAGTTAGTTTGGTGGTTGTAGTATGAACGGTCTAGAAGGAGATGCTTACTTAAAATAGTCTAGAGAAGACGACGACGGAAGAAGAATAATACGTTTCTGTAGTTCTCAAGCCCCCATAATTATTTGAATATTTCACAGAGGATCAAATGCCTAGAAGGCAAGTGTATATACATGTATATGTATGTGTGTGTGTGTGTGTGTGTTTGATTTGGATTTTTCTACACTTATTAGATCCTAGTGTGTGGATCTTACTCACACATTGTCCTTAAAATAACACACAGAGTCTGAGCTGTGGACATAAGGAGGCAGGATTGTGGGGGTTAATCACATTAGAGAGAGGGGAAGTGTGCAGAGAGAGGGAGAGAGAGAATGTGTGTGTGTGTGTGTGTGTGTGTGTGCAAAATAAAGGAGCATTTTTGTCTGTGTGCGTGTGTGTGTGTGTGTGCTACTCAGTGTTAATCACATTAGATCTGAGTGAAGGAAGTGTTCATTTTAAAATGTACTACTCTGTGTGTGTGTGTGTGTGTGTGTGTGTGTGTGTGTGTGTGTGTGTGTGTGTGTGTGTGCGTGTGTGTGTGTGTGTGTGTGTGTGTGTGTGTGTGTGTGTGTGTGTGTGTGTGCGTGTGTGTGTGTGTGTGTGTGTGTGTGTGTGTCTTTAACATGATTTTGATTGATTGAGTGTTTTGGCCTTTGACTTTTATTTTTTTAATTGATAACATAGTACTTTTTTCACCATATCTACATGATTTAATTTTTGCTACTAAATATCTATTTTAAGAATGAAGTGTATTTAAGCCTCAACTCAGATCAAGACTTGGCAAACTTGGAAAAAAAATCGATATGTCTTACATTTACTCATTCATTCATTCATTTTCTTGTCGGCTTAGTCCCTTTATTAATCAGGGGTCGCTACAGCGGAATGAACCGTCAACTTATCCAGCACATGTTTTACGCAGCGGATGCCCTTCCAGCTGCAACCCATCACTGGGAAACACCCATACACACTTATTCAACACATTCACACACATTTGAGCTTTTTCCCAATTCCCCTATAGTGCATGTGTTTGGACTTTTGGGGGAACCGGAGCACCTGGAGGAAACCCGCACCAACACGGGGAGAACATGCAAACTCCACACAGAAACGCCAACTGAACCAGCTGGGGCTCGAACCAGTGACCTTCTTGCTGTGAGATGATTGTGTTATCCACTGCGCCACAGTCCAGTCCATAACATGAGGCTTTACACAATAAATGAGTTTCTGAAACATCTGCGATTGTTCTTTTAAGTGACGTAATTTAAACAAAAAAGCACGACAATATTTTCTTTCTTCATTTCGTTTCTTTGAAATTAGTGTTGAAATGTTCTCTCTTTCTCTCCTTCATCTTCTACTTTCCTTCCTTCTTTTCCTATTTTTTCTTGTTTTCTTTCCTGTCCTTCCTATATTATTTTCTTCTTTCTTTCCTTTCTTCTTTTCTTGCTTTTATCTTTCTTTCTTTCTTTCTTTCTTTCTTTCTTTCTTTCTTTCTTTCTTTCTTTTTTTCTTTCTTTCTTTCATCTTCCTTCCTATATTCTTTTCTTTATCTTTTTTTTCTTTCTTTCTTTCTTTCTTTCTTTCTTTCTTTCTTTCTTTCTTTCTTTCTTTCTTTCTTTCTTTCTTTCTTTCTTTCTTTCTTTCTTTCCCTTCCTTCCAACATTCTTTTCTTCCTTCCTTTATTCTTTCCTTTTCTTTCTTTTTTCTTTCATTTTTCCTTCCTTCCTTCTTCCTACATTCTTCCCTTTCTTCTTTCCTTCCTTTTATCTTCCTTTTTTTTCTCTTCCTTGATTCTTTTCTTTCTTTCTTTCTTTCTTTCTTTCTTTCTTTCTTTCTTTCTTTCTTTCTTTCTTTCTTTGTCTTTCTTTCTAAATGTTTTTTCTTTTTCTCTCCATCATTTTCTTCTTTTCTTCCTTCTTTTCCTTTTTATTCTTTTTATATTTCTTTTTATATTTCTTTCTTTCTCTCTTTCTTTCTTTTTTCTTTCTTCCTCCTTCCTACATTCTTTCCTTTCTTCTTTCCTTGCTTTTATCTTCCTTTCCTTCCTTTCTTTTTCCCTTTATTATTTTCTTTCTTTCTTTCTTTCTTTCTTTCTTTCTTTCTTTCTTTCTTTCTTTCTTTCTTTCTTTCTTTCTTCAATCAATCAATCAATCAATCAATCAATCAATCAATCAATCAATCAATCAATCAATCAATCAAATCAAATCCATCCATCCATCAACCTATCCATCTATCATCTACCAATCAATCAAATCACCAATCAAATCAACCCACTCTGTCCACAGGAAGTTTTTCCACTCTAAATATTTAAGTATGCACCAAAGAAGTCCTGTTTTCTATTCCAGTAAGTATTGTAAGTATTTATTTTGAGCTGTTGTGTGTGTTTTTGAGCTGGGATTTGATTCTCACCTGAGCTCGTATCAGAGCCTCAAAGCTGGGCTGAAAGTAGTCGATGCGGCTGTTGTAGAACTTGGGCATCTCGTCCAAAAGCTGCTTGTTCTTGGCTTCAAAGTCTTCCCTGACGGGCTTCAGCTCTTCTCTGGCCTACAAGTCAAACACACACACACTGTAATGCAGCGATGAATAAAACCAGGACTTCTGCCTACTACAGAATGACTTGCCAATTATTAAAGCATGTTATTCTGGTGTGTCATTAGAATAACAACAAAAAATGGAGAGAGAGAGAGAAAGAAAGAGAGAGGATATTTTCAAGGGTGTGGAGGTGTGGAGGAGCCATGCTCATGATGCAATCACCAATCAGCTCAGCGGAAGGGAGGGAAAGCGGACTATAAATGCTGACCTCTGCTTAGGATGTGACCCGCTTTCTATATATGACACAGGGTGTGTGTAAATGCACAGCACACACACACACACACGCTTTATCAGTTCTTCTGTACTTCACCGAATTGAGTGTCTGTGTAGGAGATGAGTTTTACATATACAGTTAAAGTCAGAATTATTAGCCCTCCTGTATATATTTTGCCCAATTTCTGTTTAACAGAAAGAAGATTTTATTATAACACATTTTTAAACATAATAGTTTTAATAACTTATTTTTATTAACTTTTGACAGTAAATAATATTTGACTAGATGTTTTTCAAGATACTACCATTCAGCTTAAAGTGACATTTAAAGGCTTAGGGCCCTATTATACACCCGGCGCAGTGTGGTGCAAGACGCGGTGCAATAGTCTTTTGGTAGGATTAAAATAATAGTGTGGACGGAGATCTTTTCAGAAACGCCAGTGTGGATCCTTTACATACAACGCCATTTAAAAACTAAAACGCATCAGTATAAACAAGGCCTAAGGGGGCTAATAATATTGACCTTAAAATGTTTTTTAAAAATGTATTTTATTCTAGCCTAAATAAAACAAATACGACTTTCTCCAGAAAAACAAAATATATAGGCAATACTGTAAAAAATTCCTTGCTCTGTTAAACACCATTTGGGAAATATTTGATTTTCCTAATTAAAACGTTGTATGTAATTAAAATGTAACGTATGTTGAAGTCAGCCGTCTGCATCCATTCATGCATGTACACTCAACATGCATGCATAATGACCCAGAAGCAGCGTGTAAACTAAAAGAACAAACTATTATTGTTTGGATGTGTTCAGTGGATCGTGTTTCGGTGTGTGCGTGTGTGTGCGCGAAACCCAATTATCCAGCGGTGTGTGTGGAGCGCAGCCTCTTGAAAGAGTTGAGAGGCTGTTTCTCTTGCGTGGGTGAGTTCTCTCGCATGTATACATGTGCTCTGAACACTTCTGCACTCATCCAGCACTGCTTCCTTCACTTGTTGCTGCGTGCTAAATAAATCCCGCCAGAAACTGTACTGAGAGCGGACAGATTACAATAAACCCGATGACTCTCAAGGTCCGGCACTTCAGCACAAGCATCCACTACAGGAACATATATATATTATACATACAGTATATATACAGTTAAAGTCAGAATTATTCGCCCTCCTGTGAAAGTCTATTTTTTTCTCTTTTTCAAATATTTCCCAAATGACGTTTAACAGAGCCAGGAGTTTTTCTCAGTATTTCCGATAATATTTTTTCCTCTTGATAATGTTTGATTTGTTTTATTTCGGCTAGAATTAAAGCAGTTTTTTTTTTTTTCTCGATTGTCCACAGAACAAGCTATCATTATACAAAGACTTGCATAATTACCCTAATGCCGAGTTCAGACTGCATAATTTCCAAAGAAGTTGCGTCACGGATGTTTTAACAATGCACAACACGTCCAGCCTTGAGGCGGATGGGCTACAGCAGCAGAAGACCACACTGGGTGTCACTCCTTTCAGCTAAGAACAGGAAACTGAGGCTACAATTCACACAGGCTCACCAAAACTGGACATTAGAAGATTGGAGAAACATTGCCTGGGCTGATGAGTCTCCATTTCTGCTGACACATTCGGATGGTCGGGTGAGAATTTGGCATCAACAACATGACAGTATGGATCCATACCCGCCTTGTATCAATGGTTCAGGCTGCTGGTGGTGGTGTAATGGTGTGGGAGATATTTTCTTGGCAAACTTTGGGCCCATTAGTACCAATTGAGCATCGTGTCAACACCACAGCCTACCTGAGTATTGTTGCTGACCATGTCCATCCCTTTATAACCACAGTGTACTCATCTTCTGATGGCTACTTCCAGCAACATAACGCACCATCTCATAAAGCATTAATCATCTCAGACTGGTTTCTTGAACATGACAATGAGTTCACTGTACTCAAATGGCCTCCACAGTCACCAGGGGCCTCATGTATCAACGCTGCGTACGCACAAAAACTTTGCGTACGCCAGGTTTCACGCTCAGAATCGCTCACGTTTGGATTTACTAACAATGAACTGAACGTGGGAATGTGCGCACCTTCACGGCAGCTTTCTGGCAGGCGTACGCACATTTTTTGTGCGTGTCTGTTTTATTTCCATTGGCGACTCCTAGAGGCAGTTGTGTTAAATTCTTCTCTACAAAGTGTCTGATCCTTGCAATGGCAGCTGTATGAGACGGGTTCATATAGTAGGTATGTAAGATTTCCATACCATACAGTTGACCAGCTAAACATTAAAGCACAATTTGCAGCGGTCGCCTGTTTTCCCAATGTAATCTGAGCTATCTACTGCACGCACATTGCTATAAAGACACTATCTGAAGATAAATTTGCATGCGTGAATCAGAAACATTTCCATTCAATAAATGTGCAAATAAAATATGATGCACAAACTTATTAATGATTCCTACTTGTCTTTCTCGTGATAAATAGTGGGCAAAATCTGATATGTAGCGGGAAAAAAAGAAGAAAGAATTCATCAGACGCTGGACTCGAACCGAGTTTGTGCTCGAACGTGTCAGTATATGATCATATGCTTCTTATGAGGTGCGCCACTGAGACTGCTAAGGGTATTGCAACAGTTTACAGATATAAACCACACTATTTCTTTTGTAAATGCACTTAGTGCGATGTTCAGACCCAACTGTGTTAACCGTATCAGCTAAACTCTCCCACTCTATTTTTTTCTTTTGTTGTTAATTCCGGAGAACAAACTTGCAAATAACACCGCTTTTCTCCGTTCTACCTCCGAAAGCAGCACCTCCATTTCACATTCTGTTCAAAGTTTCTCTTTTTGTTTGATTTTGCCGTTGCTTTTTCGTTGGGTTTTGCCATTAGCATAGTCATTAGCATATTCATACGGGGGAGGAGGCAGGGAGGGGTTTTGCGCTCGTGCATGTTGCGCTCAGTTTCACGTTCATTCGGATGTACAAAAGAATATGCGTGAGATTCGGCGTACGCAGTGTTTCATACATCTGAATTTTTTTCTGCGTACGCACATTTACAGCTTTGTGCGTACGCAATGTTTTAGTAAGATTTCCACGCAAGTCTTCGTACATGAGGCCCCAGATCTCAATCCAATAGAGCACCTATGGTATGTGGTGGAACGGGAGATTCACATCATGGATGTGCAGCTGACAAACAACTGCGTGATGCTATCATGTCAATATGGAGCAAAATCTCTGAGGAATATTTCCAGTACCTTGTTGAATCTCTGCCACGAAGGATTAAGGCAGTTCTGAAGGCAAAAGGGGGTCCAACCCGGTACTAGTAAGGTGTACCTAATAAAGTGGCCAGTGAGTGTATCTGAATAATGTTTTCACTTTATTAATTATCAACATTATCAACATCATATCGAATAAATAATACATTTAAATGCTTTTTTACTGAACATTTCCGATCATTAGCTGATTGGAACAAACTCTGAATACCTGAGACCCCTGAAAAGTATTACGGTATTTGCATTTTGTCAGCAATTAGTTGTCAGCAACTTTGCATGACTACACCTACATGCTTGTTGCAGAATGACACCGCGTCGTGAGGAAGCAGAGATTTATTTTAATATCTCGTCCCGATGAACAACTGTGCTGAACATTCACACTTGAACAAACAAGTGATCTGGTTTGTGATGCATCCATATATACTGCAAGCCATAAGAATAGACCCTGTGAAAATATGCTAATGCCTTCAGCTTTTTAAGGCAGAATACAGCGTGTTAAAACATTTGCAACACTTATTATTGTGGCAGAAGGTTTGGACACCTCACCTCTGAGTTAAAAGTAGCGGTGTGTTATTTGTTGAAGTTATTTAAGTTCTTTCAGAGCATGAAAAAGTAACTTGAGGCTTTTTAAGTTTGGATCTTGCAGTCTGATTCTGAACTGAGTTTTAACAGTATTTTGAGTTTGTCTATCGATTTTGACTCGATCATATAATTTCTATATTTACAGCTAACAATTCCAACAGTTTTTTCTTAGATATGACTGTGAGTTTGTAAACTTTCTTGCATTTAAGAGATTTACATTTTGGTCAGTTATCTTACTTTTTTCCTTCAAATTGTGAGAGGCTGCAATTGAAATGTACAAACTGCAAGATATTTACTTGCAACTGCTTATTTTTGAGATTAAAAGTTGTTGGAGGAAAGATTAAGGTCTCATAATGCAATTCAAAAACGTAAATAAATGGAAAATTAAAAATTAGTAAAATTTAAAAAAAAAAAAAAAATCACGAAATATGGAAAACTTCGATATTTTATTACAATAAAAAAGTAAAAATGATCGTGAGATAAAAACTTGAAGTCAAAATTGTACAATAAAATCTTGCTTTTTATATTTTAATAAGCTGATTAAAATGTTTACAACTACAATAAGAGAGATTTAATCGCACAATTCGGACTTTTCTTTTAAAATCTGCAAGTTTTTATCCCACAATTCTGCATTAAAACTGCTAAAGAAAAATGCTGATTTACGGATCGTTTTGCTTTACAATTTTTTTATTCTAAAAATATCTGTATATTAGCAGTTTTCAATATTTTGTGATTTATTTTTATATATATATATATATATATATATATATATATATATATATATATATATATATATATATATATTTTTTTTTTTTTTTCCACGTTTATTTACACTTTTGAATTGCATTGTTACTTTAATCTTTCTTCCAACAACTTTTAACTTTAAAAAGGTAGAAAAAGTGACTTTCATGAACATTTTTGAATAATTTAAAGTGATTTATTGTCTGGGTTGGTGTTGTATATTATGCTGCAAAAAATATATATATAATAAACTGCCAGACCATTTTCTGTTATTTTACAGACTTATTTCTCTATACATTGTTATTTTATACTACTAAAATGTCAATAAAAGTTCAAAATAGAGTTAAATTTTCAACCTCAAAAATCAACAGAGCAGAGATCAACATCCCATAATGTAATTTACAACAGATAAATAAACAGAAAACACTTGTGAATCACAAAACAAAATATACTATTTAATTTTAAAAAGTTTTATCTATTTAAATGACTATTTATTTAATCACCACTGTCAATACATGTAAAGTTCAAGGACACATTATAATAAAAATTGAGCTAAAGAAATGAAATTATGAGTTTTATCGATTTTTACTCCTGATTTAAATCCCATAATCTTTTAAATAAAAAAGAGGTTTCCGTCTTCTCTGATTCACGCAGACAGGAGCTGCTCATAGAAAACCACTACCTGGGGCGTTTCCTTTCTGACCGCTCCATGAACGGACTTGTGTTCACAGATTCTTTAATAATAGCGGGAAATCAGTCAATCATTGAAACATGAATGCCTGAAATTGCAAGTCCTGTATCTCATTTAAATGGAAGAACTGCTTGTACCTGATGGAGTTTGACCATGATGGGTCCCGTCTTCTCTTTTTCTTCATACTTCTCCACTTTGGACTGGAGTCTCTTATAGTCTTGAAGAGCCTGTTCCCTGCGCTTCACTGCCATGTTCAGACTGGGAAACACACTGCCGTACCTGAGAGAACACAGCACAGACTTCATCAATGAGCAAATAACTAACAAAAAAAAAAAAAAAAAAAAAAAATTCAATAAAATCATAAAGAAAAACATCCCTTACAAAAGTCAACTAACAACAAATGAATATAAACCATTTACAAATCCATTCAGTTTTTCACATTGCTGCCTTTTGCATATGTTGCATATGTTTGCATATTAATTATATTTGTGATTAGAGCTGCACGATTCTGGCTAAAATGAGAATCGCTATTTTTTTTCTTGAAATAAAGATCACGATTCTCTCACGATTTTGTAAATGTAAAATAAAGGTTAATAAGAGAGTATTGTTTTTTCTCAAACATATGGTAAAACAACAATATTAAGTGTAGGTCTACTGGTTTCTATAAATAATTCTATTCAACTTATAATAATTTTGATGTTAAGTTATGTTTGAGATGTAGGCCTATTCTTGCAATCTGTCATTGAGAACATTATTAGAACATTTTATTCACTGGTAAAATTATTATTATATAGGCAAGAGTAGTTATACTGGCACTGTAAACATTTATTTTCATGCACAACTGTGTGTTCACTATATATATATATATATATATATATA